TTGCACTTCAGCCTGGGCAACAGAGCGAGACTCCATCTCAAACAAAACAAAACAAAACCTTGCTCAAAGCTATACAGCTTACCAGTTGTAGAGGTGGGATTTGAACCCAGGCAGTCGGGCTCTAGACGCATTGCCTATCAAGGATTTTATATCACCTAAGGCCTCCTTTCTGGGGGTTGTTTCATGCTCCACAAACCCCATCTGAAGCAGTCAGTCTGGTCTCAAATCCCATGTCAGCCTAAATCTCTCCTGAGACTTTGTTCCGCTGTTTCTTTGAGTCCCATGAGGTTGAGAGGTTCTCTGTTCTTGTAACTTGTCCTGTTGAAGCCCCTCACATCTGTTAGATCTGTGCTGTCCAATATGGTAATCACTGGGCACTATGGCTATATTATAAATTTGAATTAATTACAGTTTTAAACATAAAAATTCTCTTCTTAGTTGCACTGGGCTCGTTTTAAGTGCTCACTAGCCACATGTGAGTAGTGGCTACTGTGTCAGGTGGCACAGACACAGAACATTTCCACTTGCAGAAATTCCTGTTAGGGCTGCTTTGGATGGTATGAGGCTGTGAGTCAGGACCTCTGGGTTTGTGTTTCAGCTTTCACCAGCTGTTTATTTATTTATTTTCAGACGGAGTTTCACTCTTGTTGCCCAGGCTGGAGTGCAGTGACACAATCTTGGTTCACTGCAACCTCCGCCTCCTGGGTTCAAGTGATTCTCTTGCCTCAGCCTCCTGAGTAGCTGGGATTACAGGTATGCGCCACCATACCTGGCTAATTTTGTATTTTTAGTAGAGGCAAGGTTTTACCATGTTGGCCAGGCTGGTCTCGAACTTCTGACCTCAGGCGATCCGCCTGTCTTGGCCTCACAAAGTGCTGGGATTGCAGGCGTAGAGCCACTGCCCTGGGCCTTACCAGCTGTTATCTTGTGCTCCAACAGCCTGTAGGGAGGTAAGTCAGAGCTTAGTATACAGTGAGTTCTCAATATATGGTGTTATTATCATCGGTGCCATCTTTTTGAGTAAAGTATTACCTTAAGAAGGCTCGCATATAATCTATTGATATTTAAAATTACCCCCAATCTTAGGGGCTTGTAACAACATAAATATTATCTCACATTGTTTCTATGAGTCAGAATTCAGGAGCATTAGCTGGGTGATTCTGGCTCCATCTCGTGAGGTTACAGTCACAGCATTGGCCAGGGCCTGCTGTCATCTGAAAGCTTGACTGGGCTGGAGGATCCACTTCCAAGATGGTTCAGTTACAGTTCTGACAGCTTGGTGTTGGCTGTTGGCAGGAGGCCTCAGTTCCTCATTGCGTGATCCCACATAAGGCTGATTGACAGGCCTTGTGGTGTGACAGCTGACTTCTCTCAGAGCAAGTGATCCAAGAGACCCAAGTGGAAGCCATAGTGACTTTTATGACTTAGCTTGGAAGTCACCCACTAGCTCTTCCATCATATTGCCTGGGTCACACAGGTCAGCCCTATTCATTGTGAGAGGAGACTACCCAGAGTCAGAAGCACCTGGAGACAAGACTCATTGGAAGCCATCTTAAAGGCTGGGTGGCATAGCCCCATTGGTGGTCAACCTCTCTGTCTGGAGAGCCAACTCTGATTGGTATAATATTATTTCTGAGAATTGGGCGGTGGATGCAAAATGGATTTTGGATACTATTAGTCCACTTTTTGGCCTTTATTTTTATTTCTTGAGGTAGAGTCTCACTCTTTTGCCCACACTGGAGTGCAGTGGCATGATCTCAGCTCACTGCTACCTCTGCCTCCTAGGTTCAAGTGATTCTCCTGCCTCAGCCTCCCAAGTAGCTGAGATTACAGGCACGAGCCATGTTCCCAGCTAATTTTTGTATTTTTAGAAAAGACAGCATGTTACCGTGTTGTCCAGGCTGGTCTTGAACTCCTGACCTCATGCGATCCACCTGCCTCGGCATCCCAAAGTGTTGGGATTACAGGCAAGAGCCACCAGTCCTGGCCAAAATGTAGTCACAGGTTTAACTAGTTTTTGGTTTGTTTCCCAACCTTGATTAAACTCACTAAGTTTAGGGGAAAAATCTTATGTTTTGGCCCGGTCTCGAATGAGGGCCCTTTCGTGTGTGAGGCGAATGTGATAACCACTTAATACAGAAACCAGGCATGGGTCCACGTTTTGTTCATAATCTTGCCAATCTTCGGAGGCAGCAAAGCATGGGACAATACCTGCATGGGGTGTGGGAAGGTCTACAAGCGAAACACATCTCCCTTCCAGTGATTTGCTACGTTGTTTGGGGAGAAGACAGAATTCTAAGATGGCCTGCAAGATTTCTGCCCCATGTTATATACAACATATATAATTCTCTCTCCCTGAGGACCTGTAAATATGACAGGATGCCACAAGGTTTATGATTAGGTTACATTAGATAGCAAAGGTGAAAGTGCCCAACTGATGGCCAGCAGTCAGCCGTAGTGGGGGCTTATCATTTTGCCCTCTAAATGCATTATTGTGTCACCCCTACTCTGCCTGCCTTTGTCCCTTGGGGTCTGGAACAGAGCCAGGCCTCTCTAGGGGGCCCTTTTGGTGAGTATGCTTAGAGCTGACCTGTGACAAAACCTTATAGACTTTTTTGTTGTTAGTTTGTGTTTTTTTGACACAGTCTGGTTCTGTTGACCAGGCTGGGGTGCAGTGCCACAATCTCGGCTCACGGCAACCTCCACCTCCTGGGTTCGAGCAATTCTTGTGCCTCAGCCACCCAAGTAGCTGGGATTACAGGTGTATGCTATCATGCCTGGCAAATTTTTGTATTCGTATTTTTATTTTTTTGAAACAGAGTCTTGCTGTGTCACCCAGGCTGGAGTGCAGTGGCGTGATCTCAGCTCACTGCAACCTCCACCTCCTGGGTTCAAGCGATTCTCCTATCTCAGTCTCCAAGTAGCTGGGATTACAGGCACATGCCAGCCACAACACCCAGCTAATTTTTGTATTTTTAGTAGAGATGGGGTTTTACCATGTTAGTAAGGCTCATCTTGAACTCCTGACTCAGGTGATCCACCTGCCTCAGCCTCCCAAAGTGCTGGGATTATAGACGTAAGCCACCGGGCCCAGCCTATTTTTGTGTTTTTACTAGAGACAGGGTTTCACCATGTTGGCCAGGCTGGTCTGGAACTCTTGAGGTCAAGTGATCTGCCCGCCTCAGCCTCCCAAAGTGGATTACAGGAGTGAGCCACCACATCTGACCAAAACTGTATAGATGTATTATGGGTTTCACTTCCCTTAAAACCAATTCCTCTCTCCCTTGGCACCTTCACAGGTCTGTGCCCTCAGCTGTCTGTGCCCTGCCCAGGGAGGGAAGGTATCAGATAATTTTATCTATGCTGTAGTTATAACTTAATAGAAGTTAAGAAAAGAGAGAAAGAGAGAGAGAGAGAGAGAGAGAGAGAGGGAGAGCCAGTCCAAGGTCAATACTTAAACTGGGCAACTAACTTGTTAATAATGGTGGAACACCAGGCAGCATGAGAGCTGGTAAACTGGGAGGTCTTGGCCTTGTCCTCACTACATGCCCCATCCTCACCCTCTGCAACACACACGTCACCTACACACAGCAGCGTGGGAGAATGAGAATTAAGAGAAACTCAGAGCCCCAGATTTAGTGGTAGGAGTGCAGGTTTCGAATTAACTGTAGGCTTTGCCATCTGCTGTGGCCTTAGCCTCCTATCTTAGAGCCTCAGTTTCCCCATCTATAAAATGAGGAGGAAATACTGAGTATGGCAGTGGCTCAATCCTGGCTGCTCACTGGATTCATATGGGAGGGTTTCAAACAATACAGATGTCTGAGCTCCACACCCAGAGATTTTAATAGAATTGTTCTGTGATGTGGCCAGTATATCTAATTTTTATAGCTTGGTAAATGATTCTAATATGAAGAGGATGAAATTAATCCATAAATAGGTTTTAGTGTTTGGAAATTCCTTGGAAGTATGTAGAATCGTGTGTATAAACCCCCAAAGGGTCTCCCTCTGTCACCCATGCTGGAGTGCAGTGGCACAATCACAGCTCACTGCAGCTTCTACTACCTGGGCTCCAGTGATCCTCCCACCTCAGGATCCCCCTGCCCCCACCCCATAGCTGGGACTACAGGCGTGCACCACCACACCGGCTAATTTTCAAATTTTTTGTGGAGATGAGGGGAGGGTCCTGTTTTGTTGCCCAGGGTGGTCTCGAACTCCTGAGCTTAAGCTATCCTTGCGCCTTGGTCTGCCAAAGTGCTGGGATTGAGGCCTGGTTTTTAAATTTAAATAAAATGAGCATTTAATCCTTGGGTGGAGAACAGTGCCACCTGCTGGTTTCACTTTGCATTAGCAATACATAAATATCCACCAATGCAATATAATGCAATTCGCTGTTTATTGAGCACCAGCTCAACACGCAAGGCATCTGGATGCACCCTTTAGGACATGCAGAGATAAGAGCTCCTTTCCCCATGAAGCTGACAGCCTAGAGGGGACAATGGGCATGTACGCAAAACCTTTGAGCCACAGTGGGCAGCCCACATGGTCCCACTGAGGTTCTGTGGGAATATAAGAAAAATGGGGCCAGGGCTGGCTTCATGGGCTTGCAACCTGTGCTGGAAGGGCCCTGCACTTGGTTTTATCATCTCCTGTGGCTGTCTTGAAATTCTTCTGATTTATTTTTTTTTTGAGACGGAGTCTTGCTCTGTCGCCAGGCTGGAGTGCAATGGCGCGATCTCAGCTCACTGCAACCTTTGCCTCCCAGGTTCAAGTGATTCTGCTGCCTCAGCCTCCTGAGTAGCTGGGATTACAGGTGCGTACCACCACGCCTGGCTAATTTTTGTGTTTTAGTAAAGACGGGATTTCACCATGTTGGCCACGATGGTCTTGAACTCTTGACCTCATGATCCACCCACCTCGGCCTCCCAAAGTGCTGGGATTACAGGTATGAGCCACCTCACCCAGGTTTTTTTTTTTTTTTTTTTTTTTTTTTTTTTTTTTTTAGATCCTGTGTTCAGTCAAATTGAAATTCTTAATAATTTTTGAACAAAGGACGATTTCACACTGGGCCCCACAAATTATATAGCTGGTTCTACCTGGAGTAGTTTGGGAAATTTTGGAAGAGAAGACGTAGACCTGGCAGGGCAGAGCTGGAGGGAGAGGAAAACAGGACACTTATTGTAATGCGGAAGGGGAGGTGGGGTCCTCAGGCCTGGGTGGCCAGGTGGTGCGGGGGAAGGAGCTAGAACTGGTGCTGCAAGGCAGGTGGAGAGGGAAAGGGCTTTGATGTTAAATGGCTTGAGGCTCAGTGCAAGGAAGCCGCCAAGGACAGCTTCAGCAGCTGCAACTCAGAAGGGAGGCCAGGGCTGGAGCTTTGGTCACAGACTTCCAGATGCATATCTTGGTGACACTACAGGATCCCCTGGGAGGGGTGAGGACTAACAGCTCTGTGGCTGGTCCTGGGCTTTTGGTCCAACTTAGATTATTGGCTTCTGAGACTCCTGCTTTGGCGAGCGGTGGAGGAAGACTTTAGGGGCAGGGCTGGATGATGAGCGCCTGAGCCCCAGTTCCCCATGTGGTATACTATGACCACGTGGCTGTCTGCTTCAACACTGCCATGGACCGCACTCATTTCAGGGACATTTCCCATTCAACTCATTCCCTGCATTCCTGAGCCAAGATTCACATTCAGGGGCCACAGGCTTCTTCCTCACTCTTCACAGTGGATTGCAGCCTGATGATGATGGCAGATGACAGGACTTAATCAAGACTTTGGGAAGCCTAAAGAGTATACCGCATTTCCTCTTCTCTGGGTATTGTTAGTTTCTTCTTTCTCATGGGACTTTCCATATTCTGGGGGAGGAGTTTTACAGGAAATGAACTCTTTCTTAGGAGGTCAAGCTCTTCTCCAGAGGGTTAGAACCTGGAACCCACCTTTCAGACCAGTTTTCCCATCAGGCACCACCAGAGGCTGGTACAGGTGGCTGGCACCCGTGATACCTATCTGTGTCCTTGATTCCAATAGCCCAAGCCAGTGTTCTGCCTTTTTTTCTTCTTCTTCCCTATAAAGCACAGACTAGGTAGACGGTGGGTAGGCTGGTGAGGAATAGATTGTGATTCTGTCCATCAGCCCCATGCTGAGAGGCCCCTCTCTCAGCTACATTACTGCCTAGTCAATCCCAGGAGTTCTGTCCAGGGCTATCCTGGGAAAACTTGGTTTTGAAGGGTCCTGTGGTCGCCTCTGGGCCTGGGCTGCATCCTTGCTTGGGATGGAGAGATAGTAGGGTAACATCCCCAGGACAGGGACAAGAACTCAGGATGCCAGCTGCCTCTGAATCCAGTTCCTCCTCCAGAAAAGGTAAAAAAGGCAGCCTCTCTGCTCCATCAGACTTGTGGTTCTTTGTTTTCTGTGCAGGTCCTCTTTTTGGTATGTGGGTGTGAGGATGGCGGGAGGCACACTTGGGGAGGTGACTCATACACCGAACTCTGCCTTGGATAGGGGTTGATTTTAACCCCTGATCTTCAGGACAGCTGGGTCTGTGAAAGAAGTGACTAGGGGACAGTTAAAGCGACAAAATCTCCTCACTGTCCCAAGCACTTGCCCAGCCACCAAAGCTGTAGGCCAGGGAGCAAACACGGGCAAGAGTGCTATGCCTGGCTACAGTAAGAGAGAGTCTAGGGAGGAGCAGGTCTTTGTGCTCCAGGGCAGGGCACAGTGCTCTAGGTGGGAACTGGTGCCCCAGGTGAGACCCAGTGCTCAGAGAGACCCGGTGCTCCAGGGGGATCTAATATTCCAGGCAGAACCTGATGCTCCAGGGTCCTGGCGTCCCAAGAGCTTGCACCCCATGCCTGAGTGTGTGAAGCTGTGTGTTTTCTTTTCAAGAGCGGACACAGATGCTTGGAGGGTAAATGTTCCAGACTTGGCTTCTCCGGGCATGTGAAATTGTGTGTGAGAGGCAGGGGGAGCTGGAGAGAGAAAAGGACAGAGGGACAGGACCACACAAATAGATCTATAGATGAAGTTACTATGGGGCAAGGGAGAGAGAGAGGTTTAGAGATAGAGCGCGAAGGGATGAAGACAGGAAGAGCCACACACGATGGATACCAAGACCGCGCCACTCAGGTTGTGTCTTCCTGAATGTGTAAGGACGAGGGAGTGACCCGGGTAAGAGCCACCAGGCGCAGTTTCTAGGGTGAGCCTTCAGCTGCCCTTCTGCAGCAAAGGGGCAAGAAGCAGGGCCTAGGACCCAGAAGCACATCCCTGCGCCTGGCGTGGGCGCAGCCCTCCGCGATGGGCAGCCAGGGCGCCTGGGCGCGCCTAAGTCTGAATGAAGAGGTGGAAGTTGGTGCGCGTGAACTCCTGGTGGATGCTCTCCAGGAGCGCGTCGGCGCCGGTGGCGGGCTCGGGGGTGCCGGGGGGACCCGGCCGCGCGCTGTATTCCGGGGTGTAGGTGAAGGAGAAGGCACTAGGGTAGAAGAGCCCGTCGGCGCGCACCAGGCTCACGGGCACTGTGATGGGAGCGCGCAGCCAGCGCCAATCGCTACCGAAGGCCGCCACGTCCGGCACCACGCACACCAGGGACCGCGGGCTCCTAGGGGTGGGGCACCAGGGTGAGGGCTGCGGCGACTCGGCTGACGCGTGCGCCGCACCCCGCCAACGCTCCCGGGGGTCCAAGGTTGCTGCCTCCCCACTCCGTACCTGTACATGGTTTCTGCTTCCACGTCCCCAAACCACACCTTGAGCCCCGCGTGGAAGTTGTCTCCGTGGAGCTCCAGCGTGGCCACGTCGCCCCCGCCGCTCAGCTGGGGGAGGGTGGGACCAGGTGAGGTGAAAGAACGGAGCAGGGCGGGAACCTGCTGCCCTCCTCCCACTGGCACCCAGCGCAGGAAGGTACCCCCCCCCGCCCAACGCCCCTAGCGCAGCTTCACCTCGAGGGTGCTGATGAGGGGCACCGGAGTGACCGGCTCCCGCGTACACGCCAGGCTGGTGCTGAAGGAGAATTCCACCGCCTCGGTGCCGATGATGGTCCAGCAAGAGCTGTCGTTCAGCAGAGCCCTGTTCGCCTCCTTGGGGCAGGGAGAGGCCTGGGAGGAGACCCGAGGGGACCAGGCAGAAGCTTCTCATGGTGGCCACCAGCGTGGGGAGCCAGCATGGCGCGTCGGCTTCTGCATTAGGCCAACTGGATACCAATCCCAGGCTCTGGCGTTTACTTGTCCCTTCAGCTTGGACAGTGCCCTCAAGTTCTCTCAGAGTTAAGTAAGCTCGTTGGGCTAGCTGATTTCTTTCCCCTCCCTCCTTCCCTTCCTTCCTTCTTTCCTTCTTTCTTTCCCTCTCTCCCAGCCCTCCTCCCTTCCTCCCTCCCTCTCTCCTTCCTTCCTTTCTTCCTTCTCTCTTTATTTCTTTTTTCTCTTTTCCTCCCTTCCTCCCTCCCTTGTTCCTTCCCTCCTTTCCCTCTTTCCTTCCTTCCTTCCTTCTCTTTCCTTCCTTCCTTTCCCTCTTTCCTTCCTTCCTTCCTTCTCTTTCCTTCCTTCCTCCTTCTTTCCCCTCCTTCCCTCCCTCTCTCCTTCCCTCCTTCCCTCCTTCCTTCCTCTCTCTCTCTGTCTCTTTCTCTCTGTCACCCAGGCTGGAGTACATTGGCACAATCTCAGCTTGCTGCACTCTCTGCCTTTTGGGTTCAGGTGATTCTCCTGCCTCAGTCTTCTGAGTAGCTGGGATTACAGGTGTCTGCCATGACACCCAGCTAATTTTTGTATTTTTAGTAGAGATGGGGTCTTGTCATGTTGACCAGGCTGGTCTCAAACTGCTGACCTCAAGTGATCCTCCCGCCTCAGCCTCCTAAAGTGTTGGGACTACAGGCATGAGCCATTAAGCCCAGCTTGGGCTAGCTGATTTCTAAGGATCTTTTTTCTTGGGATCCTAGAATTCTGTGTGGCTTTTTAAATTTTTTTTAACATTGCGCAATTCTATGCTCTAATAATCTACAATTTTAATATTCTTTGGGAAGGAATATTCTTTGGGAAGGAATAATACTAGCTATTTTTCACATATTATTCTATCTCCTAACATTCTATGATAATATTCTTTTGGGAGTAATACTGCTTAATGACAATTATTATTTTCCATATTCTATAATTTCCTACATTCTGTGTCTTTTATCTATGCTTTGAATAGTCTTTGCTCAATAATTCTCTGCTATTACCTATGATTTTTATTTACATTCTACAATTTTATATCTATCTATCTATCTACATATATATATATATATATAGAGAGAGAGAGAGAGAGAGATGGAGTCTCACTCTTATTGCCACAGATGAAGTGCAATGGAGTGATCTCGGCTCACTGCAACCTCCGCCTCCCAGGTTCAAGCCATTCTCCTGCCTCAGCCTCCTGAGTAGCTGAGATTACAGGCACCTGCAACCACGCCCAGCTAATTTTGGTATTTTTAGTAGAGACAGGGTTTCACCATGTTGGCCAGTCTAATCTTGAACTCGTGACCTCAGGTGATCCGCCCACCTCAGCCTTCCAAAGTGCTGAGATTACAGGCGTAAGCCAACCACACCTGGCTAGAGTCCCAATATTATATGACTCTAAAATTCTTTAGGAAGGAATATTGCTTCACACTATGACTTACTACTATTTTCCTACATCCTATGATTCTGTCCTGGGAGTCTATGATTTCAATGTTCCGTAGGAGGCAGTACTACTCAGGAAGTAGCAATCATGACCATGATGATGACCTTACATTCTGTGGTTCTCTGTATTCTCACTTTCCAGGACACTTGGTGCTGGTATTCTCTGCTTCTTACCTGAAATTGTACCACCTTCTCTGTGGCAAGGCATAAGTAGGTACCTCCCCCTCCTGGGGGACTGCCTGGAAACTGGAATGCACACTTGTGCAGCTGGGAGATGGGCTCATCCACATCTAGGAGTGCACACTGCTTGGCTACTTTACGGATGATCTGCAGTGGAAGGGTGGTAGGAAGAGTGATGGCGAGCTGCCCAGGTGTCCAGAGGCTGCCCTCCCAGCCAGCTCTCTGCTACTCCAATAGCCACATGGGCACTAGTGGATTCTCCCTGCCCTATGACTTCTGTCTGGTCCCACAAAAGGCTGAGTGAGAACAGGTGTCTTCATGCTTTGGGGCCTCACTCTCCAGCCCAGCCCACGTGTGCCACATTCTCTGCATGGATCTCAGGGGACCCGTCCAGGCATGCCCTCCCTTCCTGTACCATGGGGGGTAATGTGATCCCGGTGACTGTGCAGACGAGCTGCACCAGGGAGCCGTAGCGAACGTAGCCCTCTCGCGGTGGGAAGTCTCCTGGGGAAGAGTGCCCATCAGCTGGGGGTCAAACAAAGGAAGGGGCAAGGTTTTCAGGGGCCCCGAAGCTTCTGCTTTAAACTCTGTCTTCTTGTCTCTGGCTCTTCCTCACATCACACATGGGCCTTGCAGGAAGGGGTGGTACTCAGGGGAGCAGCTAAGACTGAAGGGTCTAATTCTGGAGGGGTCATTTGAGGCCATCCTCACAAATGCCCACCCTGGGGAGAGAGGTAGGGGCAGGCAGCTTAGTTGATATGAGGGGAAAGGACATGGATAATGGAGTCAGAATAGCTTGTATCAGTCACCAGCTCATGGGGACTGTGGACAAGTCTTTTTGTGTTTCTGAGCCTTAATCACATGGGGCAGAGTTGACCTTCCTTAAGGAGTCATGGTGAAGGTTAAATAAGCTAGTGCATGGGAAGCGCCCAGCCCCAGGGGCTGCAGATGTCATTACCCAGGTGGAGCGTGAAGGCAGCCCACTGTCGTGCACTGGCCACAAAGGCCCCGTCCTGCACAGAGAGGTAGCGTGTAGAGACCGTCTGGGATCGCAGGCGGTTGAAGAGGGAGACCTTTGAGCCGGAGGATATGCACACTGTGAGGGCAAGGGTGAGGGTCAGGGTTAGGGTTAGGGTCAGGGTTAGGGTAAGGGTTAGGGTCAGGGTTAGGGTCAGTGTTAGGGTTAGGGTTAGGGGTGCAGCCAGTGCATTGTCCTGGCCTGACTTGGTCCCTTGGACTTTCCAGATTAATTTCCAATCCTCTGTCTCCTGTGCCAGCCTGGCTAATATGCCCACGGCCTAGACACGCTGGGCATTCACAGTTCACAGTTTACGCCTGGAGGAGTCCCCTGAGATCCATGCAGAGAATGTGGCACACAGGGGCCGGGCTGGAGAGTGAGGCCCCAAAGCATGAAGACTGTAGTACCGGCGACAGTCCTGCTTCAGAACATTTGTCTGCTCCTTTTGCTGCCTGGATATCTTTCAGTTCAAGAAACAAAATTAAAACACCCTTTTCTTTTTGAGACAGCACCTCACCCTCTCACCCAGGCTGGACTGCAGTGGTGCTATCACAGCTCACTGTAGCCTCGACCTCCTGGGCTCAAGCAATCCTCTGATCTCAGCTCTCCACGTAGCTGGGACTGCAGGCGTAGGTCATCATGCCCAGCTCTTTCTTTTCCTTCCTTCGTTCCTTCGTTCCTTCCTTCCTTCCTCCCTCCCTCCTTCCCACCCTTCTTTCCTTCCCTCCCTCCCTCCCTCCCTCCTTCCTTCTTTCGTATAAAAAATGAGGTTTCGCCATGTTGCCCAGGCTGGTCTTGAACTCCTAGGCTCAAGTGATCCCCCAAGCTCGGCCTCCTAAAGTGTTAGGGTTACAAGCATGAGCCACCGTGCCCCACCTATGTAACTTTTAGTCTGTCCCTTGTTCAATCCCTGCCTGCCTAGCTCAGCTCCTGCCTAGTTCAACTTTTGTCTGCTTTGGGACCCCAACTCCCACCCGGGAGTTTGGTGTCCGTCCCTTTCCTCTCTGCTTTTCATCCTCCCGCTCTTCTCATCCCCAGGCCTGGGCCGCAAACATCCAGACCCCTTCCTCTCTCAGCTCCGACTCCACCTTTTCCACTCTGACCCCACCCCTACAGCCCAGCCTACCCCCACCACCGCGCCCCAATTTAGCCTCTCTGGGCTTGGTTGCACCACCCCGCCCAGGCCCGCGGTCAGGCCCCGCCCTGCTCACGGTCGGTGTTTTTCAGCGACTGCTTCTTCTGCGAGGGCTTGGAGATGACCTTGATGAGGCGGCTGTGGAAGGTGCCCAGCTCCAGGCCCCCGCGCAGCACCAGCCTCAGCACCAGCCGAAAGTGCTTCCTCTTGTCTGCATCTGAGACGTACAGGGTCTTGGCGCAGCCGAATTCCTAAGGGGCTCGCGGGGACAGGGTCGTGTCATCCCAGCCCTCCGCCGTCGGATGAAACAACCTCTTCCAGATATCGGACGTCCGCCCCGTCGGAGGTGACCAGACGCTCCACCACCCACGCTCTCAGGCTTGGCCTTAACGCGGGACCCCGGCCTCCCGGTCTCCCCACCGATCTCTTGGCTTTGGGAGGGGAGTAAAGGAGTCCTCCTTTCCCAGGAGAGGCAAGGATGGGAGAAGGAATCGGACCCCTTCCCGTGCGCTCTCACTCTGGAGTCCGGCTGCTGCTCGAAATTCAGCTTCTGCGTCTCCGCGGCGCTGCCGGACGCGCTGTCCAGTCCCATGTAACCACAGACCGTCGGCCCGGTCTCTCCCGCCTGGTGAGCTGGAAAGGGACGCGAACTGGCTCTGGAAGGGCCCGGGAAGGACGCAGGTGCCAGGCAAGCTTAGCGCTCGCCACCAGAGGGCGCGGGGAGACAGCGCCTGCGAACCGCCCCTCTCCCGGGCCCAACCTTGGGATCCTCCCGACCGAGCAGGCGGCCGGCAGCCCTTGAGTTCGCCCTCACCTTGGTCCTGCCCCGGCTTCACCCTCCAGCCGGGCCCCGCAAGGTAGACACAGGGCGGGGGGCAGAAGAACCTGCGGAGATAAGTGAGCGTTGGATTCGTGCATACATGTTCACTTGGCTCTCCTGTGAGCACGGCAGGTAGTAGCGTAAACCCAGCAGAACCTTCGTTTCCTCCTCCTGCTCTACCCCACGCTTTTTCATGACTGTAAACCCCATTCATATCCAAACCTTATTATTTTATTTTATTTTATTTTTTTTCCCGGAGCTTTGCTCTTGTTGCCCAGGCTGGAGTGCAATGGCGCGATCTCGGCTCACTGCAATCTCCGCCTCCCGGGTTCAAGCGATTCTCCTGCCTCGGCCTTCCGAGTAGCTGGGATTACAGGCACCCACCACCACGCCCGGCTAATTTTGTATTTGTGGTAGAGAGGGAGTTTCACCATGCTGACCAGGCTGGTCTCGAACTCCTGACCTCAGGTGATCTGACGCCTCTGCTTCCCAAAGTGCTGGGATTACAGGCGTGATTCGCTGCACCAGGCCCTTCTGTTTTTTCTAATTGCAGCATGCTTTCCCCAGATTTTCTCCAGGCTGGCTCCATTTTAACATTCACGTTTCAGTTCTGATGTTACCTCCCAAAATGTCTCTCGACCTCCTTGGCCTTTCTAACTAATGTACCCTCTGCCTTCAGTTTCCGTCAAATTGCCTTGTTCAGTTTTCCTTCTAGTGCACATCATAATCTGCAAGTATCTTGTCTACTGATTTGTGGGGAGTTTACTGTCTGTCTCTTCCACACTTGAGTGAGAGTGTGGACTACAGAGCAGGGGCTCTCTCTGTCTTGTTCAGCTGCATGCCCAGTGTCCAGCAGTGCCCAGCAGTGCCCATAGAGCCTGGTGCATACATGAAAAACATTCAGTAAGTAGTTGTTGAATGAACGAATAAGTGAATAAATGGGAGAATGAGTGAACGAATGGAGACAGCAGATTCACAGGGAATCTCCTGGTGTGGGACTATAGACCAAAGTGGGGGCTAATGGTGGCTGAGGGACAATGCCCTTGGTTGACCAATAGCTGAGATCTCAGTCCTGAGGCCTCCTCTGGGTCCAAAGGAGGCCCAGTGGGTGGATGCAGGGGTGCATAGGGCCGACAGCTGCAGAGACCTGAGAGGGGCCACCGAGGCACCTACCGCTTCTCATTTCCGTAGGATTTCTGGGCCACCTTGGCGTGCAGGATCCGCACAGTCTGTTCGCACTGTTGCTGCAGGCACCTGCGCACGCCTCCCCGCAGAATGGTGGCGTGCTCTGGGGATGACCTGCAGGGTGGGGGGAGGGGGCAGGCAGGTCGACCGGCTGCAGGAGGGACAGCCAAGGGTCAGGGTGGCACAGGGTCCAGTCACTCAGGTTGAGCAAAATGAAGCGGGCAGGCGGTTAGAGTGAGTGGGGAAGGGTGGGGCTTCTCTACACTCTGCCCCCATGGGGTCAGGAAAAGGGAGCGTTAGGTAAGGAGGAGACTAGGCTGCAAACTGTAGGCTAAATATTTAGGCTGTGAGGTGCTCAATGAGGCCTGAACAGAGCACAGGGGACCACCCAGGCTCCACTCTGCAGGTCTGGCGTCTTGCCCATTGGAGCCCAGGGCCATGGGGACACGTGGCTATGACACAAAGCCCACACTTATACTGGCCGTGGGATGGAGAAGAGTATTTTAGGGTTGATGGCATTGGTAGAGATGAAGCTTCCCCACCCTAGGGAAGCAGGGTGTGGGGGTGAGGGGTGGGGGGAAGGGGGAGCCTTTGCTGGGCTCCTGGCCTGGGAGTGCTCTCTAGCCTCCTGCCTGCAAATAGGAAGGGGCCCAAAACCTCATCCCCAGGATGGGGGGTGGCATGGGGGAATCTGAGCCTTTCTGGGGCCAAAGCCATATTCCTCCCTTTCTCCCATGAGAAGTGGCCTGTCGCTGTGTGGGCTTTCCTTCCCTTGATTACAGGAGTCAAGACAGAGAACATGGGTCCTGCGGAGTGAGCCAGGTTACAGCCTAGAGGCCTGGTGGCTTCCCAGCCTGGGGGTCTGGATCGGCGTGGGTGGGTGTGCCACAGCAATTGCAGGGGGCGAGTAGAGGAGTGGCGGTGGGGAGAGATGTGGGGGGTTAGCAGGTTGAGGCCCAAGGAGAGACGTGGACACTGAGGCTGTCCTTCTGAGCCCTTTATCCTCTTGGCAGGACCCAGTCTCTCCTCACTCCTGGAGGGGACAGTGTAGGACCGCACCCTCCAAAGCCAGGCCAGGCAGTCAGCAACCACAGCCAGGACCGCTCCACCCCTTGGGGCTCTCCTCGAGGAAGTGCCTCCTAAGCTTCCAACGCATTCCGGCTACGGAGTGTGGCTGCCCCAGTCTCCTGTCTCCCGCTGTAGCGGAATTCCAGCCTGGCCCGCAGCTAGCCCTGTCTGCAGCTCCAAGAGTGGTAGGAGCAGGGGGTGCTGAGTTTGCCCCCCCTCAGGAGGAAGGGGGGAATCCCTCCCTGCCAGTGGGAGGGGTTGCAGCCTGCGCTTCCCCTCCCCACCCGCCAGCCCTGGGTTAAATGCGGCCGCCGCCTCTGCGTGCTCCAGCTGCCTGGCAGTCCCCACCTAGGGCAGGCTGCCACGCCATTACCTGGTCCAAGTGCCCGGGAGGCTCCGCCTGTCGGCTTCGCTCTGCAGCTGCATCTCTGATCTGTCCCGCAGACTCAGGTGAGTCAAAGGGTTGGGAGGCACTGAGGGGTCTGCCGGGGAGTAGGTGTCAAGCCAGATCAGGCGACTGTATTTTAGCAGAGGCATGGCCTATGGTGCCCTGTTTGACATGCAGTACCCTTCCCCACTTCTTCAGGGTCCTTTTGAAATCAAGCCCCAACCAGCAAGGCCATCAAAATAGGGTCATCCATTTTCTACTCTCATCCATCTCTCCAGGAACCCCCTGAAATGTCCCTAAGGGACATTTGAGAAATGATTTACAGGTCTCTCATCCATTCCTGGTTCTCTCACTCAATCCCACCTCAGGGCATCTCTGAATCTTTCTTTTAACACAAGGATGAGCTCTGCAGAGGAATCCTGGGTTCCAGTGTCAACCCCGCCATGACATCGCTGTGTGCCCTTCAGCAAGACACCACCCTCTCTGGACCTAGTTTCTTTCTTTGTAGAATGAGGGGTTTGGAAAGGTGATGAACTTTGGGCAGTCGTTATTTTGACTTTCTAGGATTCCCGGGGTGGAGGCAGGGTGCCAGGTGAGATGTTGGCTCAGACCAGGAACAGGATGAGGGAAACCTTAACCAAGATTTGGGGACCCAGAGGTGTCTCTGAGTGGGAAAGGATGGCGGGTGGCAAAGGCCCCTCATGCCTTAACCCTCATGCTGCCTAGGGATGGTGGCCTTGCCGTGGCCCAAGTTAGGGAAGGGTTCCCTGCCCTCCCACCTCCACCAACGCTGCCACATCCAGCTTAGTCACCCTCCCACGACCGGCTCTGCCAAAGGGATTTCTGTTCTACCAGGCCTGGGAGGGGAAAGGGGAGAAGAATCCGGACAAGAAGGCCGCCTGGAGTGAGAAGCAGGCACAGGCCTCGCTCAGAATAGGCGCATTCACAGAATTAGGGGTGGGGGCGGGGCTGCGGTTGGGTTAGGGGCGGCTGGCCCTCTCTGCCAAGAAACAGCAACAGAAAAATGGCTAACACAGCTTCAGCATGGGGCGCCAGGGTAGGGTGGGAACTGGAAGGAAAAGCGGTTTAGTGACTTCTAGGCGCCGGGGGCCTCAAAAAGAAGAAGGGGAACCAGGAACCCTAGGTTCTAATCCTGTTTTTGCAGCTCGGTGGGCTGCCTTCTTGGGCCTTAGTTTTCCTGTCTGTACAGTGAGGGGTCCTTCGTAGTTCTCAAGGGGCGTCTCCGGGGCCGCGGGAGGGTGAGCTCACCTGCTGCCCCTGCAGGGTCCATGGCGGCTCCACCGGGCCCCAGCCGCTCACCCGCCCTCTGGGCGAGTCCACTGCTGCTGTCGCTGGAACCCTGCACACTCCTGCTCCCCAGTTCTTGTGCGGGATATATCCTGTCCAGGTCTTATCTCCAAGGCCCTGGGCCCCGGCCCGCTGTTTGCTCGGGGTGGGCGCACCTGCTGGGCAGATGTGGGCTTCCCACGCCCCTGCCATCTCGGGCGCCCCCTGGCGGTCGCTCCTGAGAGCAGGCGGGAAACAGGCGCCAAGCCGCGCGTTCTCCTGCGCGGTGGGTTTTGTTCTGCTGGCTGCCGCGCCACCACGCTCAGTCCCCGCCGCCTGCGGCTGGGCAGTGCGTATCTCTTTGTGTGTGTGGAGGGCTATAGGGGAGTTGGCGACTTGCGAAGTCAGCCACACAGAAGCTTCTTGTGTGCGTAGGGGAGTGGGCCGAGGTGGGGAAGGGCTTCTGTCTGCAGAGATTCGCCTGGCAGGAGAGGCACCCAATGCGCGGGCTGGCTCACAGAAACCAGCAGGCGTGGGATTCTCCTGCCGCAGCCACTTTCTGGCCGAATGACTGTAGGCAACAGCAATTAACTTTTCTGAGCCTCAGTTTCCTCATCTATATGATGGGGACAATCACAGCCTTAGTCTTACAATTGCAGAGAGGATTGAATACCACAAAGCGAGAAGAGCATTTAACACTGTGCCTGACATTTAAGAAAGGCCTTTTTTTTTCCTGTTTAAATTTTGTATATTTGTGTCTATGTATCTATTCTTATTTACTGTTCTGCAGTTTCACAAAGAATCTCTTGTGCGCTAAGTGCGGTGGCTTATGCTGAGGTGGGAGGATCACCTCAGGTCGGGAGTTTGAGATCAGCCTGGCCAACATGGCAAAACCTGTTTCTACTAAAAGTACAAAAATTAGCTGGGCATGGTGACAGAAGCATGCAGTCCCAGCTACTCCGGAGGCTGAGGCAGGAGAATCGCTTGAACCTTGGAGGCAGAGGTTGCAGTGAGCAGAGATCATGCCACTGCATTCCAGACTGGGCGATAGAGCAAGACTCCATTAAAACAAAAAACAAACAAACAAACAAAAAAACCTTGTGTTTCCCAGTAATCCCACTGTGATAAAAAAAATTTTAAATTCTGAATCATTTCAAAAATACACAAAAATAGAGAAATTAGTAATTAAATAAACCCACAACTCTCTTCCTCTCCTCCAAGTCCCTATCACCCAGAATAAGAGATCTGTAAATACTGTTGCTTTTCTATTTTCCTTCCTCCATCCAGGCTTTGACACCTCCATTCTCTGTTCCTAAGCACCATGAGAGGCCTTTGCTGGCCTGTGTTGCTGTTCCTTCTTCAGCCCTGGGAAACCCAGCTCCAGTCTGCAGGTGAGCTGGGGCCCAGCCCTCACCAGCGGGAGGAGGGGAGCCGAGTCAGGTCCTCCCTCTGCAGCCAGCTCCTCCTGCTGGGGAGAGGGAAGCAAGGGCTTTGGAACATAAGGGACTGGGTTTAAGTTCCCCTCGTCACCTCTCTGGGCCTCAGTTTCTTCATCTGTAGAATGTAGCTTAGTTTGGGGCACATGCAGACCTGCCCATGGGATGTTTAATTTGGAAAAATTATTCGAAAACATGGAAAACCCAGGAAATTTTACATAAAAATCCCTGTTTGGTACTTCTCTTGAAAAAGCCAGGGATCTGCTAACATCCAATTTGCAGGTGCATGGCAGCATTTGGTTGAAGCTGCCTGCCCAATTTAAGAGTGATTCAGGCTGTTTGGATCCGCCGTCCTAACCCAACCAATTCATCTATGTTGCCTGCCTGATCCCTGCAGGCTTTGAGTTTGTGACGCTTCCTTGCCCCCCTCTTCAATGGGTAATACCTTCTCGGAATAGCCCTCAGGGCTGTGAGATGAGGGAATTTGTGCAATCTCCTAGGCCAGGTGCCAGGCACATGCCGGGTGAGTGCATCTATCTAACCTGCCTTTGCTGTGCTGGGCGCTGTTATGCCGGAATTGCGGCATTTCTCCTTGAGTTTCCCTTGGGGAATCTCCTCGGAGGTGAGGTTTTGCTGACCTAGGAGAGTCTTCCCTGATCTCCCAGCAGGTCCCAGGTGTCACACTGGGCCCCTGGATCTGGTGTTCGTGATTGACAGCTCCCGCAGTGTGCGCCCTTTCGAGTTCGAGACCATGCGGCAGTTCCTCGTGGGCCTTGTCCGCGGCCTGAACGTGGGTCCCAACGCCACGCGCGTTGGTGTTATCCAGTACTCGAGTCAAGTGCAGAGTGTCTTCCCTCTCGGCGCCTTCTCGCGCAGCGAGGACATGGAGCGAGCCATCCGCGACCTGGTGCCTCTGGCGCAAGGCACCATGACAGGACTGGCAATCCAGTACGCCATGAACGTGGCCTTCAGCGTGGCCGAGGGTGCGCGCCCGCAGGAGGAGCGTGTGCCGCGCGTCGCTGTCATCGTAACGGACGGGCGGCCTCAGGACCGCGTGGCCGAGGTGGCGGCTCAGGCGCGCGCCCGTGGCATTGAAATTTACGCGGTGGGGGTGCAGCGCGCGGACGTGGGCTCCTTGCGCGCCATGGCATCGCCCCCGCTGGACGAGCACGTCTTCCTCGTAGAGTCCTTCGACCTCATCCAGGAGTTCGGCCTACAGTTCCAGGGCCGGCTGTGTGGTGAGTCAGGAGAGTGCTGGAGCAAGGCTCCAACTCTGAATCCAAATGCTTGAATTCCTTTCCCACCACAGTAAATCCCATCCCTCGGGGTGGCCCCGCTCTTTCCAGGTAGAGTTGCTTGGACCTACCGCAGACTGTTTCAGTTTTCAGCTGTGACCACTTCTGCTCAGGATCCATCAACAAGGAGCAACCTACAGTTTCTTGCCCTGCCCGCCACAGCTTACCACAGGCTTAATGTCAAACTCCAACATCAAACCCCTGTACACAAGGAACCAGTGATTCTCAAAGCTGACAGCGATCGGCTGCTCCAAAGGGTCACGGCCTTCCCTCATGGGGATGGCTCCTCCCATTATCATCTTAGCTTCTCCCACAAATGCTGCAAGATCTGTTCTAGCCACGTTTTGAGTTTATTCCGCCCACCTTGATTTAGCACCTCTCCACCTCCCTACCCACTCCTGCCCCTGTGGAGTCCTGTTCTATCCCACTGACATGTCTAACTGGGTGCCCCCTCTTCTGAGCCTACTGGCAGGCCTCAAGACTTATTCTTTCCCTAAGCCCTCCTACCCGGTACACCCCTCTCAGATGAGTTATTTCCCTCTGAAAGCCATTTGAGGGTGATGCCTGCCTCTGATCCCATCCCCACCCAGCTCTCTCTTGTTGGAGGCTTCTGCCTATCTGTTCACTACTGAGTCTAGTCCTGTGTGTACTCAGGGAAGGACTGGTGTGCTGAAGGGAGACATGGCTGCCAGCACCAGTGTGTCAACGCCCCGGGCACGTTCCACTGCGCCTGCTACCGGGGCTACAAGCTAGCAGCAGATAACAAGAGCTGTCTGGGTGAGAGCTACCCCTGCCCTGCAATCTCACTGCCCCTGAACCTTCTTTGGCTCCCCATTGCCCCAACATCAGACCAATGAGTTTGGAAGGGCCTTTGGCAGTAAAAGCACACCTCCATCACTTTACAGGCCTAAGAAAGAAAGGTATTGCCCGGGGTCACACAAGTCCCTGGTGGGAGCCCACAGTTCAGCACGCTTTCTGCTCCTCTTTCTCCCTGTTTTCAGGCTAGTCTCCTATCTGGCTCCAAACCACCTCCCAAACTTGTTTCTGTCTTTTTGTTTTGTTTGAGACAGAGTCTCGCTCTGTTGCCCAGGTTGGAGTGCAATGCTGTGATTTCGGCTCACTGCAACCTCTGCCTCCTGGGTTCAAGCAATTCTTGAGCCTCAGCCTCCCTAGTAGCTGTGATTTCAGGCACCCACCACCATGCCTAGCTAAGTTTTGTATTTTTAGTAGAGATGGGGTTTCGCCATGTTGGCCAGGCTGGTCTTGAACTCCTGACCTCAAGTGATCTGCCCATCTTGGCTTCCCAAAGTGCTGAGATTACAGGTGTAAGCCACGCTGCCCTGCCAATTCTCACTTTTTTCTACAGGGTAATTATCCTCTCTTCAGTCCAACTCTTGGCCATCTTTGCATATCCAGACCATCAAGATGCTCAACAACAGGGCAATAGTTCCCATCTTCCACAGAAGGAAGCTGTAAATAGCAATTACTCTCTTCCATTATATTCCCATTTTGCAAATAGTAAAATGGAGGCTCAGACAGGTAAAGTGGCCAAACCTGTCCTCTGTAAGTCAGAGAGCATCTTGAGGACGGGACAGGCCCTGACTAAGTAGGTCAGGATTGTTGGGGTTGCAGCCCAGGCATAGGTGTTCTTATAAATTTCTTATTCCACCTGATTTTGATTAAAAAAGAAAAGAAAAGAAATTTCTTCAGGCAGTTGTGCTACCAGAGCTGAGAAGGGCAGCCCTGGGCATGGACTGACCTCATCTCTTCCCCAGCCATTGATCTGTGTGCTGAAGGGACCCATGGATGTGAGCACCACTGCGTCAATTCCCCGGGCTCCTATTTCTGTCGCTGCCAAGTTGGTTTTGTCCTCCAGCAAGACCAGAGGAGCTGCAGGGGTGAGCAACAACCCCGCCCTCCTGCCACACCCAGGACTGTGGCCTCCGACGGCTCCAGTCAGAGGTGACACCTTGCTGTTTCTTCCCTCCGGCCAGCCATTGACTACTGCAGCTTTGGGAACCACAGCTGTCAGCATGAGTGTGTTAGCACCCTTGGTGGACCACGGTGCCACTGCAGGGAGGGCCACGACTTGCAGCCCGATGGGAGGAGCTGTCAGGGTAAGGAGGGCTTTCCTACATTTGTGGGAGGGATAAGAGATCTTAGCTGGTGGGATTCATCCTGACTCATCCTTCCCTGTCTCTCCTTTAAGTCCGGGACCTTTGCAATGGCGTGGACCATGGCTGTGAGTTCCAATGTGTGAGCAAGGGCCTCTCCTTCCGCTGCCTGTGCCCTGAGGGGCGGCAACTTCAGGCAGATGGCAAGAGCTGCAGCAGTGAGTGATGGGTGGGAGGGTGTTCTGTCTGTTTCTGCCCCATTGCCCACATTCTGAGTGTCCTTGACTTTGCCTTTGCTGTGGCCCCTAGGCTGCGGTGTGAATGTGTGTGTGTGGTGTGGGGGTGACATTGGAGGGGATGCCATTCCCTGCCTCCATCTCTTTCCTCTCAACCTCTACTCGGCTGCCAATGTTAATTTTAAAAAATATATTTGATCGCACTCCTCCTTTGCACATAAGCCTTCTGTGGCTCACCAGTGCCTACAGAAGAAAGATCAAATGACTTTGCCCTAAATGTTTCAGATGGTGAGCAAAACCACATTAATGGATAATGAAATCAATTTACTGGGTTACAACCAACATTAAAAAAAAAAATAAAGAATGGAAGACAACATAGAGTTTACTGCCTGTAGAAATAGTTACATTATTCTTGAAACTTTAGTTCTATATGTATTCTCCTTATTATTATTTTTGCTGTGGGCTGTGATAAAAATTTTGGAACTGCTGCCTTAGCTTCAGCCAACTCCATCAGCCCGTCTCCTGCCACACTTGAACATTTCAGTCTTACTGGCCTGCCCCTCCCTGAGTGTGTCTGGAGCTCTGCATGCCTCTGTACGTGCTGCATCCCATCTTCTAGACTGTCCCTGACTGCCTTGGCAAACTCCTACTATCTCTCAAGACTGTCTTAGTTTATTCAGGCTGCTATACCAAAGTACCATAGACTGGGTGGCTTAAACAACATTTATTTTTCACAGTTCTGGAGGCTGGGGAGTCCAAGACCAAGGTGCTAGCAGATATGTGTCTAATGAGGGCCTGCTTTCTGATTCTCAGATGGTACCACTATCAACACCTCCCCGTGCTGCGCGCGCGCGCGCACACACACACACACACACACACACACACACACCAATCTTCTTGCTGCATGCTCTTCTCTCTCTCTCTCTCTCTCTTTTTTTTGAGACGTAGTTTCACCCTTGTTGCCCAGGCTGGAGTGCAATGGCGCAATCTGGGCTCACTGCAACCTCCGCCTCCCAGGTTCAAGAGATTCTCTTGCCTCAGCCTCCGAAGTAGCTGGGATTACAGGCATGCACCACCACTCCTAACTAATTTTGTATTTTTAGTAGAGTTGGGGTTTCTTCATATTGGTCAGGCTGGTCTCCAACTCCCGACCTTAGGTGATCCACTTCCCTCAGCCTCCCAAAGTGCTGGGATTACAGGCATGAGCCACTGTGCCTGGCCACATGCTCTTCTCTTCTAGCACTTTCCTTGACCAGAGCATGTGCCATGTCTGACCTGCTCTGTCCTGTCTTCATCGATCAGGATTATGTTTTAATTCTTGTTGAGCCCTCTTTGGTCCTAGCAAATTCCCTGGCTCAGAATAGGGAAGGCAGCATTCTAGAGTGATTCAGGAACATGGGTTTTGGAGTCAGACGGACCTGGCTTCATGTCTTCGCTCAGTACTAACTGTGAAATCTGGGGCAATCATGTTATCCATCAGAACCTCAGGTTATAGAAAATGGGGACAATACTCAAGCTTATTGGGAGGATTGAGAATATGTATAAGCCCATCACGCAGTACCTGCCACATGGTAAGCTGTCGGTGAATAATGTTTTTGTTATTATTATTGTTAATATTGGTACAGTGTTAGAAGTGTGCCTGATACATAGTAGATGATCAATAAATGGTAGTTATTGTGGTCATTATTATGATTGTTGTTAAAAAGATGCTTTTAGCAGTGTCTGGTTTGTTCTAAGCACTGAATAAATGTCAAGGGCAATGATGATGATGGTGGTGGTGGTGGTTGTGATGATGGCGATAATTACTACACTGCCCGGCACAGCAAAGACTCAGGAAATTTTGTCTGTTATGTAACAAATGTTTGCAAATGAATGACTAGATGGATAGACAGCTGCTGCCAGTCAAGAACCTGGTCCCTCAATTCAAGTTCTTCTGGCCGTGCAGGGTGCCGGGAAGGTCACGTGGACCTTGTTCTGCTGATTGACGGCTCCAAGAGCGTGCGTCCACAAAACTTCGAGCTGGTGAAGCGCTTCGTGAACCAGATTGTGGACTTCCTGGATGTGTCCCCCGAGGGCACGCGTGTGGGGCTGGTGCAGTTCTCGAGCCGCGTGCGCACTGAGTTCCCTCTGGGCCGCTACGGCACCGCAGCCGAGGTGAAGCAGGCGGTCCTGGCCGTGGAGTACATGGAGCGCGGCACCATGACAGGGCTGGCACTGCGGCACATGGTGGAGCACAGCTTCTCCGAGGCACAGGGTGCACGGCCCCGTGCCCTCAACGTGCCTCGCGTTGGTCTGGTCTTCACCGACGGCCGCTCCCAGGATGACATCTCGGTGTGGGCAGCGCGTGCCAAGGAGGAAGGTGGGCTTGGCATGGGACACAATAGGCTGGGCTTGGGTCAGACGGGGGGAGACAGCTTTCCCGAGGCCTGGGGCACCCTCTGAGTCCCCGGCCCTGTAGGCATCGTCATGTACGCCGTGGGCGTGGGCAAGGCGGTGGAGGCGGAGCTGCGCGAGATCGCCTCGGAGCCAGCAGAGCTGCACGTGTCCTATGCCCCGGACTTCGGCACCATGACGCACCTGCTGGAGAACCTCAAAGGCAGCATCTGCCCAGGTAAGAGCACCTCTCTCGGGGCTCTTCCTTTCTCTCATTGCCCACCCTCTGATAGCTCCCCTTCCTAGTCACCCCCTACCCTCTTTGTAGTCATAGCCAGAGGTTGGGCTCACTAGACAGAGTTTTGCACCTCCAAATGTGGTCCGCAGGCCAGCTGCAGGGCGGTGACCCAGTAGCTTCTTAGAACTGAAACATTTCTGGTGCTCTCCAGACTGAATAAATCAGAATTTCCACCTCGACAAGATTCTCAGGTGATTTGTAAGTATATTAAAGTCTAAGAAACCCTAGACTAAGCTACCCATCCCCCAAATCAGAGGAGGTTCAGAATAATTTGGGAAAAATTTTTTGAAGGCACACCAGACAGCATTTGTAAGTGGAGTCACAGCATACATCCCCTGTACTTGTTAGAATTCAACCTTATGAACTTGTCAAAGTGGCAGGTCTGAGTATACTTTAAGTACAGGCAGGACTGTTTGTTTTTCATTTTGTTTTGTTTTGTTTTGGTCGGGGGAGCAACGCAGCTCATAAATGCAATTCTTTTGCTTCATCATCTGGCGCTCAGCTGAGGAAAAAGACTAACTCTACCTGTGGAGGAGAAAGGGGCTCCTGAATTGTGTGTATTGTGCTCTAGGTGATATAGGGAATGTCTCCAGGGTAACTTGTACCCTAGGGTCTTTAGACACTAACCCAGGCTTACGATGTGACTCTTCTTCCAGTTTATCAGGCTCCAGCTCCAGAAAGCAGATTAAGTAGGGCTGATCTGGATCTGGAGAATCTGTGTGTGTGTTTTTTTTTTTTTTTAAGTATATGTTGTGGGGGCAGGTGCAGTGGCTCATGCCTGTAATCCCAGCACTCTGAGAGACCAAGGCGGGTGGATCACTTGAGATCAGGAGTTCAAGACCATCCTGGGCAACATCGTGAAACCCTGTCTTCACCAAAAAATACAAAAATTAGCCGGGCATGGTGGCGGGCACTGAGGCAGGAAAATTGCTTGTTTGTATATGGATATACATATGTATCTACATATACAAACACACACACACACACACACACACACACACACACACACACTCTTCACTCCCCCGCCCCCAGCTAATTTTAATTATTGTGGAGTCCCTGAATTAGCTGCTCTTTCAGGGCTCTTCCTGTGCTGACTCTTACATGCCCCGAAGTGTGACTTTGGACAAGTCACTTACCCCCACCCTTACCTTAACTTTTCTTTTCTGTAACAGAGGAGGCACTGGCTGCCCAAGTTTACCTCTAGCTCTGGAGTTCTGAGAGAAGTCTGGGCTCTGTGGTCAAGGCTCTTTACCAAATGGTGGTATCACTGTCTCCTGTCTCCAACCCTTGGATTCTCCATCTGTAAAATTAGGGATCTTTGCTGGATTGTTGTCAATAACAAGACTTACAGCAGTTTGTTAATAGTACATACAAGACCAAGATGAAGAGACAGCTTTTAAATCATTACAGCAGTGTTGTTGAAGGCTAAAGGACAGGCATTGGGCTTATTATTTCACTACTTGTAATCCCTTTCCTTTGTATTCCTAAGGTACTTTTGTTGTAGCATTTTTTTAAGTCATTCCCTGTTATATATATATATATATATATATATATATATATATATATATTTGAGATGGAGTCTGGCTCTGTTGCCCAGGCTGGAGTGCAGTGGCATGATCTTGGCTCACTACAACCTCTGCCTCCTGGATTCAAGCGATTCTCCTGTCTCAGCCTCCCGAGTAGCTGGGATTATAGGCGCCCGCCACCACACTTGGCTAATTTTTTGTATTTTTAGTAGAGACGGGGTTTCAACATCTTGGCCAGGCTGGTCTTGAACTCTTGATCTCATAATCCACCTGCCTCGGCCTCCCAAAGTGCTGGGATTACAGGCCTGAACCACCTCGCCCGGCCTTCCTGTAATCTTAACAATGGCACATGCTTATAGAAATTTAGTGAATCTAAGATACCATTCACTTTAAGAGTCACCATTATTTTATGTGCTGCTAAGAAAAAACATGTGCCAATTTTAATTATAAGGTCTCCTGCTCAACCCTCAAGATGCTGAGATGTATAGGGCAATAGAGTTGGATCAGGATTAGTGGTTTCTAAACATTAGGGTACATCAGAATCACCTGAGGGACCTTTAAAAACACAAATTGCTGGGCGTCAACTCCAGAGTTTCTGATTCAGTATGTTTGGGGTGGTGTCTGATAATTTGCATTTCTGATAAATTCCTACATGATGCTGATGCTGCTGGTTCAAGGACCACACTTTGAGAATCACTGGTCTAGTTGAAATACACTATAAGACAGTGGTACACAACCTTTTTGGCACCAGGGACTAGTTTTGTGGAAGACAATTTTTCCATGATGGTGGTGCGGAGGATGGTTTCAGGATGATTCAAGCATGTTACATTTATGGTGCACTTTATTTCTATTATTACATTGTAATATACAATGAAATAATTATACAGTTCACCATAATGTATAATCAGTGGGAGCCCTCAGCTTGCTTTCCTGCAGTTAGATGGTCCCATCTGTGGGTGATGGGAGACAGTGACAGATCATCAGGCATTAGATTTTCATAATAAGCCAGCAACCTAGATCCCTCCCATGCAGAGTTTACAATAGGGTTTGTGCTCCCATGAGAATCTAACAATGCCATGGGTCTGACAGGAGAGGAGCTCAGGTTGTAATGGGAGTGATGGGGAGCAGCTGGAAATACAGGTGAAGCTCCCTTGCCTGCTGGCTGCTCACCTCCTGCTGTGTGGCTCAGTTTTTAACAGGCCATGGGCTGGTACCGGTCCATGTGATGTGCTGGTAATGGTCCATGGCCTGGGGGTTGGGGACCCCTGCTGTAAAGTATTTACTTGAAGCAGGCAGTGTTCTAGATCTGGCTTTTTCAAAAAGGTAGGCAGCTATTACAGGTACCTATTTAATTAAAATGGATTGAAATAAAATAAATTTTAGACCTTTAGTGGCACCAGTCACATTTCAAGCGTTAAGCAGCCACATGTGGCTTGTGGCTGCTGCTTCGGATAGGGCAGGTACAGAACACTTCCATCATTGCATACAACTTTATTTGGAGAGTGCTACTCAAAGTGGGGTCCACAGACCAGAAGCACCGTCATCATTTGGGATCTTATTAGAAATGTAACTTCTGAACTCCTTCTCCATTCTGAATCAGAATCTATATGTTAACAAGCTCTCCTGATGATTCCAAAGAGCCATAAGGTTTGAGAAACACTCTTGTAAGTTGTGCACATGCGCACACACACGCACACATACACAGGTGACCGAATCCTCGAAGCCACTAATGCATACATTCTTTCATTATATCCATTTTATAGATGAGAAAACCGAGCTTAGAAAGGTTAGTGAGTTTCTCAGTATTTCACAGCTACTTAGCTTGGGACTCAGCCCAGGTCTCTCTGAATCCAAAGCCCATATACTCAACCATAGGCCCAGTACAAGGAAATCAGAGGGCCAAGGCTAGCGCAATTTCTCATCCCCCTGCCCCTCTGTGCCCTGCTTGCAGAGGAGGGCATCAGCGCCGGGACAGAGCTTCGGAGCCCATGTGAATGCGAAAGCCTCGTGGAGTTCCAGGGCCGCACGCTGGGGGCGCTCGAGAACCTGACGCGGAGCCATATCCTTTGGGGCTGGTGGCCCGGGCTGGAGGGAAAGTGAAGGGACCGCGGCGAACCCCAGCGGCTTCCTTAACCGCGCACTGGCCCAGCTGACCGCGCGCCTGGAGGATCTGGAGAACCATCTGGCCAACCAGAAGTGAGGGCCACTCGGGCTGGGGCGCGGCCCCACGGACCGTGCCAGCTGCGCGCCATCGGGGCGCCGGGGCCAGGCAGAACCTGGGCCAGTCGGGGTTGGGCTGTCCGGGCGGAGGCGCTGGCGGGCTTCCCGCGTTGCGCTGAGCTGGCCTCGCCGGGACCAGAAGGCGGACTGCGGGGGTCACGGGGATAGCGGGTGGTGGGGGAAGGGGCACGTGCCAGACCGGCACGCCCTCGCCGCGTGCTGCTCTCAGTTCTTTGTTGGATTTGTTTGTTTTCTTTTTCTTAAAAAAAAAAATCTGATTTCCACCGGGTCCGTTTTTGGGTCTTGCTGCACCGCCAGCTGGAGGGGAAGCCAGACGGAGCACGCTCTGCCGGCGCCCGGGCAGCGTCTCCTTGGAGAAAGGCGCATTGTGCGGGGGTCGGGCGCTAGGGCGCCGCTTTCCCCTGCTTGTTTGTTCAGCGGAGAACAGATAGCTCCTTATGCAGGCTGCGGGAAGGGAGGGGGTTCAACAGGAATCCTTGGGGTCTGAGCAAGTCTGCGCCACCCCATTCCCCAGCGGATTGAACACTTTGCTCTCCGGCCAGGCCTGTCCCATGGTGCCCCCAAATCTGGCTCAAAAGGTGCTAGGGCTGAGCGCTGGTGAGGGGTGCGGTGTGGGGGTGGCATTGGTGGGAAACCGAGAGGCAGTAATTGAACCCTAAATGTTTGGAGTGGGAGTGGATAAATGAGCTTTGCCCGATTTTAACTCCCTCCTGCACTAGGTGGGAAGAGGAGGAGGTATCAGCCAGGACCCCTGTCTACCCAGCCTGGGGCCTTCCTTCTGTCACCATCCCAGCCCCGCCGAAAACACTTCTATCAGCAAAGAACACAAACCAGTACCATTTTCCAGGTGCATGCAAGAAACCACGAAGTTTAAAATGCTTCCTAGAGTGATTTGGGGAAAGGTATTTTGTGTTTATTTCCTTATCTGCAAAGAAGAGACTGGAATTCTTACCCCCAAGAGTGATCAGGAGAATCAAGGACATTCTTCTAAGGCATGTGACACTGTGCCTGGTACCTGTCAGGCCCTCAATTAATGGTAGCTGTTAACTATTCTTATAGTAATAGCTAACATATTTAGTGTTGGGCATTACTATAACTGATTTGCAGGTGATTGCCACCACTCTTCTGCATGCTGTTAAATATGTTAAGTAGCTAACATATTTAGTGTTGAGCATTATTGTAACTGATTTTCATTTTATCCTTGCAACCATCTTATGAAATAAGAATTATTGCTTTTATCATCCCCATTTTACAGATGAGGAAACTGAGGCACAGAAAGGTTAAGTTTCCAACAGTAACATAACCAGTAAGAAACTGAACCAGGATATTTCCTATGGCTGCCCTAACAAGTTACCACAAATTGAGTGGCTAACAACACAAATTTATTACCTTACAGTTTTTAGGTCAGAAGTCTAAGATGTGTTGGCGAGTCTTTATTCCTTCCGGTGGCTTTTGTTTCCTGGCCTTTTCCAGCTTCTAGAGGCTACCTGAATTCCTTGGGTCCTGGCCCCACATCACTTCAACCTGTTTCTGTCAGCACATTTCTTCCTCTGACTCTGACACTTTCATCTCTGTCTTATAAGGACCCGTCTGATTATATTGGCATGACCTTGATAATCAAAGATAATCATCCCATCTCAGGCTCTCTATCTTAGCCACATCTGCAAAGACCCTTTTGTAATGTGAGGTGACATAATCACAGATTCCAGGGATTAAAACGTGGACATCTTTGTGGGGACGGCTATTCTGCCTACCACATGGGGCTTGAAGCCAGGCTGACTGACTTCAGAGCAGCTGCTCTTAGGCACTCTGTGCCAGGCACCTTGCTAGGCTTGGTGAAGAGGTAGAAACTGACGATTGAGAAAAGCTGTTGAGTTGTGGAAGCTCCAGGCTAGAAGGGCTGCGGTCAACCTGACTATACCTGTAGCAGAAAGAGGGAACTTCAGATAAGAGGAGGGAGAAATTCCGGGGAGGTGATCGTTAAACAGTGGCTGGAATTTTCACAGGAGGCCACGGGGGACTTTACAGGTGAGTAAAGCATGAACTATGTGTGGTCAGGAGAGACTGGAGTATGGGGGGTGGGAATGATCATCTTAACTGGCCATGCGGATCAGATGAGCTAAAGCCCTATGGACACCACTTGGCATGTGACCTCACCTTGCCTTACCACTCATTTTACATTTGTGGAAACTGAGGCCTAGAGGCCAGAGTTGCCTGCCCAAGATCACACAGAGAGAAAGCACCAGTTCGTTTCTCCTGCAATTTCCCTCGTGGCCACTGGATGGCGCTGGAGATCTGATTTGGAGCTGGGTCGTAGCGCCTTTGCAGGCCTTTGGCATCTGGCATTTGGGCTGCAGAGCCTGTCCTTCTCCCTTCATTTCCTCACTCTGCCAGCCCCACCACTGAAGCCTACAAGCTGCTTCTGTTCCCATGCATTAGCCCCATGGTGCTGGATTTGAAGACCAGCCCTGCTACGTACCAGGTGCATGTTGGTGTTGACAGGTACTGGTTCCCTTGCTCACCTCTTGGTTCCTTTCTCTGATTTCCCTTTCTTCCTACCCCCTCTACCCTGCTGGATAGAATGAAATTCCAGTTCCCTAATCATGCCCAACATAAGGGCAGCTAGCCCTTGCTTCTTTGTTTGTACCCCCATCCTATGTCATGGGGTAGAAGATTTACAATGAACTCATGAATTCAGTAAAACAAACATCCATTAACCCAAGAACTGAAAGTGAGAACCCAAGTAACAGTGCGAGGAGAGTAACACTGCCAGGAAAGCTCAGAAGGAGAAGGCACCGAGCCGGACAAAGAACCCCGGGCCTGGGTCTCTTGGTGCCCAGGCAAGCAGGGGTTTATATGGCTTTCAGAGCTTGTTAAGATGAGGAACAGAGCATGGACGTGCTGGGGAGTCCTGAGCCCAGGTCCTGCAGAGGGAACTCAGCACCCTCCGCCCTCTTGGTTCCCTGGAGAGTTTGAATCATGGAAACAGGACGGTATCTTCCCTCATGGTTAGCAGAGACAGCACTTCCAGGGCTGTTTCTTAGACGTAGTACCATGCACTAGATGTGGCCTTGGGCAGGAAAGTGCAGGTCAGGAAGGGCCTGTCACTTCAGCCTAGTGCGGGGCTCCCTCTCTGAGGTTCGCCTCTCTCTGTGGTGTCTGGCTCTGTTTCGCCACGGTTTTTGACCTTTCGCTCCTTCTATTCTAGCTCACAGCTCACTCCATTTCTGCAGCTGGCACAGCTGCTGTCTCCAAGGGTTGTCTACTCTTCTGTCTCTTTGGACCCAGGATAGTGAAACAGAAAGAAAACTATCAATTACCAAACGCCGGCAGCATGCAGAAGAGTGGTGGCAATCACCTCCTCCTCCGCTTCCTTCTCATCTCAGGCCCCCAACAAGTCATCCCTCCAGCTCCAACCCCTGCAGAATTCCTTGGTGGCTCACTGCGCACTCGAGCCCTCTTTCCCTCAGGGCTAGCTTAGTTTTTGGCTTCACATACACAGACTAAAACAAAAAAAATCAGATAGGTAAAACCTTTGTATTAAAAATATTTTTCATTGTACAAGCCATCCAAGGTCATTGTTAAAATAAAACTTAGGCCGGGCACAGTGGCTCACGTCTGTAATCCTAGCAGTTTGGGAGGCTGAAGCAGGTGAATCATTTGAGTCTGAGATCAGCCTGGCCAACATGATGAAACCTTATCTCTACTAAAAATACAAAAAATAGGTGGGCATGGTGGCGTGCACCTGTAATCCTAGCTACTTGGGAGGCAGAGGTGGGAGGATAGCTTGAGCCTGGAAGGCGGAGGTTGCAGTGAGCTGAGATTGTGCCAGTGCACTCCAGCTTGGGTAACAGAGTGAGAATGTCTCAAAAAATAAACAAATAAAATGTATATAGCATAGAATCTATCAAGTGAAAAAAAGATCCCCTGCTTCCATTAATCCCATTCCCTAGAGATTACCACAGAATCGTTTCTTGCGATTCCTTCTGGAAGTCTCCTAAGCCCTATAGAGGCAGCTGGCATAGTGCTCCGAAACCAGTTTGCTTGGTTTAGAATCCCAGGTTTGCTTATTTGTCAAATAAATTGGACACGTTTTCTCAGTTTTGTCATTCAGAAAATGAAGTTAATAGCACCAACCTCATAGAATTGTTGTGAGGATTAAACTTATTCAGATAAAGCAATCAGACCATCCACTT